TATATATATATATATATATATATATATATATATATATATATATACTGTATATATATATATATGCCCCAGGACATGTTCTACTGTACTACCATCAGTACAGTTAAAAAAAATATTATGTTTCTCACTGGATTTGAATATCTATGTATTTAGAAATATTTATTTTTATAAATTATACTATAAAATAAACTAACAATCTGTTTGTTTGATCGGCAGCTGAAGTATTCAGAAAGACGTTTTGAAAACAGTTATTTGTGTGTGTGTGTGTGTGTGTGTGTGTGTGTGTGTGTGTGTGTGTGTGTGTGTGTGTGTGTGTGTGTGTGTGTGTGTGTTAAGGATTATCTTCGAGATGACAGTGATGGTAACCAAAAAGTACTGGTGCCCATTGGCTTCCATTGTATGGACAAAGAAACAAATACCACTGGGCCTGTAAAATATCTTCTTTTGTGTTTGACTGTTCAAAGCTGTTCAAAGCTGCTTGATTGAGAGCTGTTCTTAGAGCTTCTCTCTCTTGAAAGGATGATGAACTTTGATCAGGATCCTCCACTTGTACAGCTTCAGGGTTTTTTGGTTTCTGCTGCTTGATGGTGACTCCTCTTACATCCAATATAAAATAAGGAGAGAGAGACCCAGTGCTGCTATCTGAAGTAAAAAAAATGTGTTAATCGTTTGACCATGTGACAGTAATGTTAGTTTGAACAAACTTATGCAGAAAAAAAACATTGATATTTTATGCAGAGCTCAGGGTTTGGTTGTTGGTGGCCACATTAAGGTAAATACTACATAATACCTTAATTGTTTATTCAATTTACATACAAAATGTTACATTTGACATTTGCTATGCTAGCTTTTGATTTTAACTGAAAAACACAAAATTGGCAAGAGATGCCTTATATGTTATAACATTAAAATATGAGTGACCATATATGTGTCATGGCAAAGGCTCTGTATGGTCTTAGGCCTGCTAAAAATATATATAATATGAATTTTCTGTTGATTGCAAAGTTATAGCGTAGAGGAGTCATGGCATGAACCAAATTTGCTTGATATTTTAACACATTTGAGGTCATTGTACCATATTGCTCTAATAAAAGATACTTCCTCTGCAGTTTATATATCATATGTATCATCCTTAATTGTATTGTTTTTACTACAATAAACACTATAAAGAAAAATAAATATCATTGTAATTTGAATTTATTGGTAGCAGATTTAATTTCACCTTTTTGTTTGCCAATAAGCAGCAGTTATAGAACATGAATTAATTTGAACTTCTATATTTTAAAGTTACACCAAACAGACAAAAACACTTTATTATAATTAGTGCTGTCAAACGATTAATCGCATCCAAAATAAATTTTTTGTCTACATAATATATGTGTGTGTACTGTGTATATTTATTATGTATATATAAATACACACACATACAGTATATATTTAGAACATTTTTACATGTTTTTACATGTATATATTTATATTCATAACATTTCATTTATTTATAAATATATTAAATATACAAACAACATATTTTTCTTA